GGCGTCGTCGTGCGCAGTCCAGCTCTGGCAGCAAATTGGGGCGAAAAGATCAGACCACGAGAGTGGCACGGGCCAGATGTCAGTTGTGGGCGCAAGGGATTTCCGTGGCGCTTGTTGTTCTTCGAGCGGGCCCAGCTGGATCTGAACGCCCAAGCTGCACATTGTGAACCTTGCCCCAGACGTATCAGACTGCGCATTGTGAATCTATGCCTTGGCGTTGGAACCATTGGAATATGTCAGAATTGCTTTGGATGCTCGGACTCGTTTTCGCGTCGTGGCTGCGTTTGACACTTAGGTCGCATGTGAGCGCGGTGCCTCTGAAGGACACTCGGCTTGCCGGATGGTGGGCGTGCCAGTGGGATGCCGGCTGTGGGTCAAACCAGGACCCATGCACCTGCTATTGGATAGCGTGGCCCTGCAAGCTTCGCTGCGCCCCAGTCATTCGCATGCCACGCCACCCGGGGCCTTGCGGCCTGGCGAGTCAAGGTTAGCATTGCGCGCTCGTGACTGAGTGTCAAGTGGGACGTGCGCTTCAACTGGGGCATCCACATCGTGAGGTGTGTGCAGTGGTCAGATGTGCAAACAAGCACATGCCGAGACAGGCACCATTTGCCAATTGTGGCGCAGGTAGAGCCACTCAACCTCGAGTGAACCCTGAAGGCAGGGAAGTGCAGGCCCAAAGAAGTTGCCTTTGCCCCCAGCAGATGTTAAAATAAGTTGTGAAACGGATGAGATGCACCAAAACGAAGGGATATGTGTTGTTTCAGGCAGCGATCTGGCAACTCGAAGGACGCAACCGCATTGTGGAGAGCTGTGCTTTGTTTGGGGCAGCGGTCAGACCAAAATCAACGGTCAAGGAAGGCGTCATACTTCAAGGATTGGATACAGCACTTCTTTCCTGTTGTAGCTTGCGATGTCGGAAAGAGTATTGCTTTTCGGGCACTTTGAAGTTCAAAGTTCAAAGTTTGAACAGCCAGGCTTAGGAGTGTTCAGCAAGACGCTTGCTTGCTTGCCTCCCAGCTTAGCCGCTTCATTTGGCTGAAAGCTTGCAGGGGCAGGGGTGTTCCCTCAAGTGACACGGCTTGTGCATGGCACGGCCGTGTAATAAGCCCTCAGCCGGCCAGTCGCAAAAGCGTAGCCCCAACTGAGCTCCCAGCCAAGCTCAACTGAGCCAAGCCCAATTCCCAAAGCCCACCCACGGAGCATTTGCCCGACACCCCATGTCCATTTGCACCCCCCAAAAGCGCAAGACGTTGCGAGCCAAAACACGCCAGACCGGGTGCCCATGTGGGCCCTGCGGGCCCTGCGGGCCCTGGCAGATCGCTAGTCCATGCTCTCTGCGGACGCTTAGCCATGGCATTTGGCGCTTTCAACAAAGGCTTCAGCAAAGGCCGGACGTCGTAAGAGATGGGGAGAGGTCCAAAGAGGCCAGGCTGGAGCACACCAGAAATCAGAAATGCAAATGGGCCTTAGCACAGCTTCTAGCATCGCTGACATCAGTGCGGAACTGAGCCCTGGTAACATGGTCGGGGCATGGCATTGGCTTTTCAGTCAGGGACGGACTCCACAGACTGGGTATCAAAGTTGGAGAGCCCAAAAGATTCAATTCAGGGGGTTTCTGGACATTTTGTTGGACCATCAGTTGCGAGGGCGACTCAATCCGCCCTCTCACGTACGATTGGAGCCGCCAGAAGGCCCCTTTGAAGAGGACACTTGTCACATGGTCTCCCAGCAGGAGCCTCCGGTCGGTTTTCATGTCAGATTGTGACACGAGTAAGGCGGTGTTTCTTGAACAATTGGGGGGGGTTGCAGAAGCAATTGAACCGTTTGGAAAAGAAGAGCGAATGTGGCCAAGTGCATTAGACTGATTGCAATCAAAGGTCGTCTCTCCACGTTCCCTTTCAAGCCGTCAAGCCTTGCAAGGCTTCGGTACCGCTCCAGCAGCGGGCAAGGGCGGGGGCAGCGGCTTCGGGGGCGGCTTCAACGATGAGGCCGAAAGGGCGAAGTATTCGGCTCTGAAGGGGATTTGTTTTAAGTTTCAATTGGCTTCCCCTTAGGGCCCTTGACTTTCAGTCGGCTTTTCCCTTAAGAAAGGCCTCAAAAGGCCCAAGATCGGCTTTGTGACCTGACAGGACCGCAGCAGGGACTGGCAGTGCCCTAATGCATCATGTTGCAGCCTTGGTCGCCAAGTGGAACCCCACAGCCTGCGACAAACCTGAGCCAGCATCCTCCCCGAGCTCCAGCGTTGTCTCCCCCGCCTGCCTCACTGCCAGCTGAGGTAGAGAGAGAAACTTTGTCAAGCGGCCTGTGTGCTTCAAGTGCGCTACGCCGAGGCGGGGTCAGAGCACAATGCATTGAGCTGGGATTTCCCGGGTCCGTCAAGCGTTTCAGGTTCCAGCTTTAGGAGGACGCATTTGGAGTCATTCCCTTGCAGAGGCCTGCAGAGGAGGTTCGCAGAGCCACGCAGCCACCGCCATCAGCTGGCACCACGCTGCATGGCATGGTCCGGCAGCTTGTGTTCAAATTGAGAACGCCCCATGGGCTTCGCGCTGCCCAAGGTCAAAAGCTACAACAAGAAAGGGCGACGGCCTCAACACGGTCGGCCATTTCACCATTTCGGCGGCTGAGTTAGGTTCGGGTTCATCATGTGTACCGGGAACTCGGACATTCAGGTTGCACCCCATGTGTGGGCATTCGTGCCATCACCGGAACTCGCAGGACTTGTACTTCACCAGGGAGAATGTCAGCTCCCGACTGCTGCTCCTTGACTGCAATAGATAGGCCCGTCCAGCAGTGGGATCCCCTTTGCTATTCCCCACCTTTGCTGCCAAGCCGAGGGTGACCCCGTGTCTGAACTAGAACGCTAACTTTGACATGCCACAAGTTGCCTCAAATTCTTTTGGGGTGTGGGGATTGGCGCTGTGTCGCTGCCTATCGGCCTGCTAGGCACCCGGACATGCCTGGGGAGCGCGTGACCTTTGAGATAGGCTACGAAGGTCGCCGAATGATCGCCAGGAGGGACGAGTGACTGGCGGTTTGCTGGGGTTTATGCGTGTCCATTGCACGTGTAGGAATGTCCGACCGTTTGGTGAAGATAAGCACACCCAAGCGGCTTGCTCCTCAGTGCCTTCACGTGGCATTTGCGCATGTCATGCTTCCTTAGGTTTCTTCTGCTAACATGTGTTGATACAATATGTGTTTCCGTTTGAGGCAATGCTGGCCAGCAGCAACAAGGCAAGATATGAGAGGGGCTACGATGAGGAGGACCTCTATGGGCCTAAGAAAATCCAATCAGCTTCCCGCATCTCTCAAAACTCGCCTTACGCTGAGAAGCAAAGTCCCTCAAAACTTCCCTTCCACGGCTTCCAAGCTGCGACGGTGCGGAAGGGAAGGCTGCACCTTTCCAGTTCAACTCATAACCATTGCCGGTTTCAAAAACGCCAAATGTATCTGATGTGCTGAGAGGCTTCGGTATGCTCATGGATCAAGCCATTGACTCTGAGCTTCCCCTTTCCCCTGACAGGACACCAGCAGAGATTGGATTTGGGCTTAGGCAGTCCCGTCGCAGCCGATGCAGCCGACAAAAAGTCGCCTTGGCATGGCCAATCCCGGCCTTCGCCTAAGGAATTGCCCGTCCTGCAACGAGCGGAACTTCCTGAAGCGCAACGTTTGCTTCAAGTGCCAGACGCCGAAGCCCATCATCGCAGGAGCCCGCGTGGGCATGGAACTCGCATGGCAACCAGACACGCAAACCGACCAAACCAAAACAAAACAAGTGAACGAGAACAAACACAAAGCCGGGCAAACGGACTGACAGACATACAGACAAGAGGCAGAGAGAGAGAGAGAGAAAAGAGACATGCAATTCAGCAACCCAACAAACAAGCAATCCGGCGAGCACACATACATACATACTAACATAATCTAGAGTAAGAAAACTAAACATTGCTATATATTGCACGGCACTACCTTACAGTACACTACACTACCATCCCACGCCACGCCATGCCATGCCATTCCCGTAGATAAATTACATTTACTACATGCGTTGCATACGTTACAAAATTGCATGCATGCTACATACATGCTTACAGCTGGAGAGACATTGAAGACGTTTCACACACACACAAACACACAAACACACAAACACACAAACACACAAACACACACACACACACACACACACACACACACACACACACACACACACAC